CACACCCCCAAACCGGAACGATAGAAATGTTCGGGGGTGAATGATGTCATGTAGAGTACCATAACAATTGAATATTAGTAATCAAAGCAACACAACCATCATATTGAAAATATATAATTTACATTGTGTTCGAAACATTGTTTGTTTGACATCAAAACTATAGCAAAAACTAAGATGTGACGCTACTATGCTCCGTCTTTGTGGAACCTGTGTGGGTACCAGTCTACTAGTTTCCTGAGAATACAAGTGGTTTGAAAAAGTGTCAACATTTAAGTTGGTGAGTTCATAAGCATTTCGTATATAAAAGTGTGTTCTTTGTTCCTTGAAAACGTAAGTGTGTTTATCCAGAAAATCCAATATTTTCTATAAAAATGAGTTGTAGTCTTAATACCCTAAGACCAAAATGTATAAGTTTCTTATGCTTATAATTTTTAATTCGAAGTTCTCATTAATGTAAATGGTGTAACCCATACTGCTTCCTCATATGATTACTTAAAGTATACAATTTATATGGGACATCCCAAAAATACAGTCCAAAAATGTCATTTTTAAATCACTTAATAAACCAGAAATCAACCATCCTCGTATAGAAAAATCATAAATCATGTATCTCTAAACATCACATTGATGTGTCAAAATCATATAAAAATATCAGAGTCTGAAACATCCTAGGATGACTGTGGTGTGTGCCATGCGATCATCCCGAGCCCTTCCCCTTGCTAGTGGAAGTACCTGAAACCAAAACTGAAAACCGTAAGCACGAAGCTTAAAGAGCTCCCCTAAACTACAACATACCACATAACATATAACACATCTTGGGCCTCGCCCCTACTACATCAAGACTAGCTCGTCATCGGCTTGTCTGGCATTGGGCCTCGCCCTACATCGGGCCCCACCCGACATCGAACCCTATTCGGTATCGGGCACCGCCCAACATCGAGCAGATCACGACATATATATATATATATATATATATATATATATATATATATATATATATATATGAATATATCGACTAGCATATGACATAACATATATGCTAACATTTAAACATTTCTCGAGTCCCGCCCGACATCGGACCGAGATCCAAAAACATGCTATCATATCATACTAACTAGACATTCCCCGGGCTTACCCCGACATCGGACCGAAGTTCGGAAACATGCTAACCTTCCTCGAGAACCGCCCCGGCATCGGACTAGAGTCCATAAACATACTATCATATCATTCTAACTAGACATTCCTCGGGCTTTCCCTGACATCGGACCGAAATCTGGAATTTCCTAACACATAGCAAACACATGCAAGAATCACAAAGACATCAAACATACAAGCATACAAGCATTCCTTAGGACCACCCCGGTATCGGATCGAGATCCGGAAAGCATATAATGCTACATCGGGCCCCCGCCCGACATCGGACCGTAGTCCTGAACTACTACTAACTAAACGGACAGACCTTGGTGCCTTAGACCCGTTCCTATAGGACAAACCTCGCCTCACAAAGTTCTCTGTGAAATCTCGTGGTGGAGAATATCCAGTAGCTGCTCTAACGTCTCCCTAGCTATCAAAATCGTAATAATACTTAGTCAATATATGAAACTCCTTCTCAGGGTGAAATGACCATTTTACCCTTGGTCAAAGTCAATGCTCTAGTCAAGTTCAAAGTCAGTGTCAAATCCCAGTCAACCTAACTCACCGAGTTATCTGCCGACTCATCAAGTTCTATGCTATCAGACCCGGTGATAAACTGAGTCAACTCGTCGAGTCCCTTTACAGAATCAACAAGTTCCATCTATACAGAATCAGGACAAAACGAACAACTTGTCGAGTCCCTTCACTGAATCGCCGAGTTCTTCAGCTTCTTGGTCTAAATCTTGTCTATCTGGTTGAGTTTATTCCCAACTCAACGAAGTTCACTCAGGAAATAGAAAAGGTTTGGGGACTACGACCCAACTCGCTAAGTCCTGTGAACAACTCGTCGAGTCCCTTGCATGCCAAAACCATACAGTCGATGCTAACTGATTCCAATCTTCCAACGCACAGATCTGGATTCCTTAGGCTAGCATAACACGTAAAGTTGCTAACTTTACATGCATGCATGATGATATAAGGATAAAACACTCATACAAGCTTGAATGGAGGTTTAAGTCATGGCATGGGGCCATGGCTGAATAAAGGTGACAACTTTGAGCTTCTAAAGCTTAGTAATGCCCAGATATGAAGTCCTTTCATTCCCCCAAGGTTAAAATATCGGAAAGACCTTGAAACTGACCCGAAAAGTGACAATAACAAGCCTACATGAGGATCTAAGTGGATATAATCCAAGGTATAAGCTTTATACCTTTAACAAGTATGAGATGTCACAAAAACTCTAGACATTCTACCCCATTCTTGTGTCTTCACTCTTTTCCTTCCTTCTCCTAGCTTCAAACCACACACAATACAAGGAAATGGCTCAAGAATGCACAAGATCAGTAGGGTGTCGACAGTGGGGTTAGGAGGTGATAAAGACTGGAGTGGAGGATGATTATGATGCTTAAATAGGGTGAAAACCCTAAAGATTAGGGTTTCATCCAACATATCCTACTCGTCGAGTCAAGTTCCTGACTCGTCGAGGAGCTCACTTAAAACCCGGACAAATACTGCGTTCTACTCGACGAGTTAGGGCCACCAACTCGTCGAGTAGCCATTCAAAGAAGCATAAATAAATAAATAATTAAATCAAATACGTACCAAGGAACCAATCGTTACATTATATATAATCAAGATCGAACGGACAATCGAATGAGTGACTCTGCCCTAAATCCACAACCAAACAAGAAACATGATCTAAAGCAGAAACACACATTCTAATGCCTATAGGATTTTTATTATATATAACACTAACGTATACTTTAATTAATCATGGAGTAAACAATAATAATCCTTTTAGAAATGTAAGTTGCACTGTACTAGTAAAATAGTATATTGTGGTTGTTTTAGTATGTACTACCTTTAAATGTATGATTCTAGAAATGTAACCCGTGTTGTACTGAAAAGTCATGTAATGTAGTTTTTATTGTTATGTAAAACTATTTGAAAGTATGTTTCCCCGTAAACCAAATGTAAAGTTAATGTTCAAATGAAACTATCTAAAAATATATTACTCCGTAAATGTGTCGTTATTTTCTCTATGTGGGTTCTTATAACCATATTGTGACCTAAAATAGCCTGAACACGACGTTCTTCAGGCATCAGAAATGTTAACGACACTTGTCACCCTAGGCTTGTCGGCCTAACTGTAGCTAACAGATTAAGTGCGGGATTATCAGTCCCGTATAGATCTTTACACAAATATCATGCTCTCCCTACAAGATACTCTGGTTATAAGTCAGGAATTTCGCTAGCACTTAGATAAGTACTTGAAGACGTCTCAGAATTTTTTGCTTCAACGAGTTTACAAGTAATGAACTGAAAACCCTTTTAGTAAATGAAATGTAATACTCTTTAATAAATGAAATGTAATACCCTTTAGTAAATGAAATGTAACACCCTTTAGTAAATGAAATGTAATTTTTCGATAAAGATTTCTAAGTATATATAATTATTGTAAAATGAGCCATAAACTATACCTATTATAATTTATACTGTATATCCTGTTGAAATGAAAACCGTTGCATCTTAACATATTTTTACGTAAAGTGTTTATAAAGTATAAGAAAACATAATAATTAATTTATATTTTTAAACACAAGATTTCTTGTGTTTTACTTGTATTCCCCCCAAAAACAATGAAAAATCATGAAAAGGTAGGGATATGAACTCACCTAGGGTGTGTGTTCTTGGTTAGTTACGATGTGGTTGCGTTTTAGAACAAATATAATTTCCGAAATCCTAATAATATTTAAACACATAATATTCTATTTAAGTTAGTTGAAATAACTATTAAAGTGTTGTATATAGAATACTAGATTAATGAAGGATGCTTTCTTTAAATCCTTAAGAAAACTTTGAAGAACTGCTTTTTGGGATAAAGTTTGAAGATGTTTTTGGGAATATATGTATGAAGGTTGAAAGAAATGTGTTGAATGAGTTTAAATTTTGTGATTATGTATGAAAGGAATAGATTAAATGAAGTGATGTTTACCTAGGTGCTTAAAAGAAGGAATGAAAGCAAATAGCAAGGTTGGTCACGTCTGTTGATCAAAAAGAAAGAAGCAGGAGCAGAAGGGTTGTTGTGTGGTAACAAGCAATACCCAAACAAGAAAGGAAAAAAGTAGAAAACAGCAATAAAAAGAGGGTGATTGCTGACAACAAACAAGAGAAGACCGAAGACCGAAGGAGGTAAACGAGACCGATGGTGGTTTGCCTGAGAAATAGAGACTGAGAGAAAGAAAGAAGTTTGGCAGGAATAGTTTGGATTAAAGGGGGAGAATGTTGGTGTTAATCCAAACTGAGTAAAAATCACGTGATTATCTTAGGGTAGTTTAGTCCTTTTGTGTTTGATTTAGTAAAAACCCATGAACATCATTAGCTTGATTAGTGCGTAAAAGTTCCATTTTTAAGTAATATATATTGTTAGTGTCAATAAAATTTGCTGTTTTGATCCGTGTGATTCCGGGTCCGAAGAGGCTGATTTCCAACAATAATGTTGGATTCATTTCAAAAGAAGTGATACAAAGGTTACACAAAGTGCCGGACCTCGCGTGAGCTTAATAGATAACTGTTAAAATAATATTCATCAATAAATATGAAACTAGTATTTGAATATAGAAGGCCATTGGGCTTTTATCATATCGACGGTGGTTGATAACACTTGGCACAAAATGAGGGTTATAGTGATTAAATTTATTTGTTTTGGGTTACGTGTTTCTCTTTTGGAAGTGTCAGCAAGCAAGCTGGAACAAAATAGTAACTAAAAGGTGGAATAGGGGATAAACACAGAAAAAAAAACCTGTTATATTTATCACAAGACAATATATTATTGGAGCTGATCAAGAGCATTAAGCCCATCCACAATGATGACTTCTTTTACCTTGTACACCGTTCCCGCCGCCACTACGGCCACCACCAACATAATCAAAACTAACTGCTACCAACTTAAGACTCATGCAAAGCAAACCCATCGCTTGAAAGCGTCATGCAACGCAATCCCGGATGAAAACAATGATAAAACACTCGAAACTTCACTTCAAATGAAAAACATAGACCGGAGAAACATAATACTCCAACTCGGTGGTCTCTTTGTGGCCAGCAACATGACCTCAGTTCCTTTGGCCTATGCTGATGCAATTTCAGCTCGGTCTAATCACTCGGTTTGCGCTGCTTCGCCTTTAGGCATACAGAATCTTGGAACCCCCGTAAAGGAACACATGGAGAATAGGGAAGATGTAGACACGAATAAGCTCGGATACCAATACAAAAGGTCCGAAATCCCATGGGGAAGGAGTCAACCGACTGAATATCGCAAGGATTCAAAATTTGGAGATAAGTCTATAGGAATAGAGAAGAAGGTGTGGGAGGTGGAATTTCCAGTGAAGTTAAACAAGACAGTTAAGGTACTCGTGAAGAGGCCGGCTGTTAATAGGACCAAGGAGGACAAACAGAAAGCGAATGAGATTTTGTTGGTAAATGGAGTGAGATTCGATGGTGAGAAGTACGTCAAGTTCGATGTCTTTGTCAACGACATAGACAATGGAACCGAAACCACCCCGGCTGACAGTGAGTTTGCTGGTAGTTTTGCACAGCTTCCGCATGGCAAAACCGACAGGATGATGATGATGAGCGGAGTTAGGTTTGGGTTAACGGAACTTTTGGAGGACATAAAAGCTGAAGATGATGAATATGTTTTGGTGAAATTGGTGCCTAGGACTGGGTGTGATGACGTTACAGTTTCCGAGATCAAGATTGAATTGGTTCCTGTTGTTTGAACAATTTTCATTGTTGCATATGTTTTTTTAATTAGATTTGGATGCACAGGTAGGTTCTGATTAATAGATAGGATTCTAAGAGTTCTCTTAACCAAATAAAATGAATGCTCACTACAAGAAAATGCCTTTTTATTGACCAATTTTTTTATGACAACCAAAAATTTGGTCACTAACCACATCATTAGTTATCATATTATAAAACTAAAGGGAGTGGAGGTGTTAAGGAAGGTGTCAAAAGAAATGCTAAAGATGTTATACCACTCTCTACCTTATGCTAAGGAAGGTTCTAAGAAAGGAGTGTTACGAGTGTGACGAAAAGAGAGGGGAGAGAAAGTATGAATGTACGTTGGGATTTGTTAATTTGTATTTCTTTATACATTTTAATTTTTTTTTCTTCAAAATTAAACCTATTAAATTATCACACATCCACTCCCTACGTTATTTATGAAAAACATACTAAACCTATGTGTCATAAAAAAAAACTAAAAAATCTTATGTAACAACATACCAAGAGTGGTGCCACTCGTTTCAGCCTAAGTGTCACTGAATTTTGTTGATGGTATAAATTTAGTGACGAAATCTATGATGGTTGTCACTAAGTGGTCACTAAACCATAGAAAAAATTATTATTATTAACTAATTTTATAAAAAGTATTATTCACTAAAATCAGTGGTTAATGATTTTATATTTAATGCCCAAAAATAGTTGTTATTGTATTGAAGATTTAGTGACCAAAATAATAGTCATTAAATACTATTTGTTTTTCAAACACAAGTTGTAACAATTATGGGAAACCTACTACACACCAATTTGTTTAGGTGCTAACATTTTCTTTTTTCCCATGCAATCAACTTTCATTGGTTTTTTTTTCAATACAACCAACTTTCGTTGGTTTTTTTTTCGAATACAGTCAACTTTCATTACCCTAGATAATTAATTTTTTTTTGTTTTTTATCTTAAAATGTTTATTTGTAGGGCTTTAAAGTCAATGAATCCAAAAAGAAAATAACCTCAACAAAAAATCACGGTCTGCAAATCCGTTCACTTTCTTTTATGCTCAAGAAGAAATTTAATTTTACCAGAAAAATAAATTTTATTGATATACACAAATCAAATGCACAAAATACCATAAAAATTAAAAATTACCATCCTATTTAATTTACTGTTCAAATCAGAAGTAAAAATTATACACAACAGAAAAAACTCCAACTTAAATACATCGCCGGGAAAAAAAATGTGGGAGCATTTTTGGACGGAAAACCCTCGCCGGGGCATTTTTGGATGGAGAAAACGTCATCGTAGCAATTTTCGATGGAAAAGGCGTTGTTGGACGTTCATTGATAATCGGAAAAAACGTCGTCGGAGCCTCGTAGGAAATACTCAGGTATGTTCTTACTCTAACTTGATTTAAAATGAAATACCCATTTGGTCCGGCCGAAAAACGTGTAAAGAGAGAGTGAGAGAGAGAATACAACGATCGATGGTAGCGAGGCGGTGACTTGGTGGTCCGGCGAGGCTGCGACTCGATGGTTCGGCGAGGCGGCAAGGCTGCGACGTCGGTGGCTGCAGGAGAGGGTGGAACCTCGAGGAACTTGGATGAATGTGAGGATAGAATTTAAGGTTTTATGTATTTATGTGGGAAATATGGGTTGCATTTGTCGTGGGTTGTTGGGCTAAAAAAATCAAACTTTGGCTTAAGATAAATTAGACTTTGGGCTAAACAATATAAGAGGTTACCTTTTCAAACTTTCAATATTAAATTAGATTTTTTTTTTAAAAAAAAGTTGTGTTTTAATTAATTATTATTATTTTTTAATAAAAAATTCTTATTCAATTTTGCAGGAGAAAATGGTGAAGATTTCGGAATTTTCTACCGATGAAGTATATATTTTTAATATGTAATTTATATGTGTATATTTAGTTGATATATTTATCCATTTTTTAACTCTTAATTTTTAGGTTTTTAGATCTCTTGAAGATTTGAAGAATTTAGTATAAAATATTGTGCGTTCTCAAGGTTATGTTACAGTCACTAAACGATCGAAGGCAGCAACTTTTGGATTAATATCTAAAGTATTTTTTTGTTGTGATCATAGTGGTATACCCAGAAGTAAAAGTGCCGAAACAAAAAAAAAAAAATTGTCTATTCGAATTGATAGCAAAGTATTTGAAGGTACAAGATGGTTGGAAGTTACAGGTCGTACGTGATGATCACAATCACAAAACATCAATATATATATATATATATATATATATATATATATATATATATATATATATATATATATATATATATATATATATATATATATATGGAGGGTCATTCATTTGTAATGCTATTATCGGATAAAGAGACTCGTTTAGTACATGATTTGACAGAGCTGAATGTTAAACCGCTAGACATTTTGTCAACAATAAAGCAGCAAAATGAAAATAGCGTGTCTTCTCTGAAAACTATATACAATTATCGCCATAAGTTTACGATATCTCAACGAGAAGGTAGAAGCCCAATACAAAATGTCATGCAAATTTTGCATACTAAAGGGTATAATTATGAGTATCGTTTAAATGAGAGCACTAACGAGTTAGAGGAGTTGTTTTTATGCACCCAATATCATTACAGATGTGGCAAGCATTTCCGTATGTGGTGTTGATGGATGCTACATATAAAACAAACAAGTATAATCTTCTTTTTCTGGAGATTGTTGGTGTCACTTCTACGAGACTAACGTTTTCCATGGCTTTCGCATTCATGCATAGCGAAAAAACAAGCAACTACACATGTAGGCATTGACTTGTTTGAAATTGACGATTAACGATTCTTTTTGTCCTCGTGTCATCGTCACAGATAGAGATTTGGCGTTGATGAAGGCGTGCGAAGATGTTTTTCCACAAAGTAATCATTTACTTTGTAGGTGGCATATATTCAATGATATAACAAAGCATTGTAGGAAACGTATCAAATCAAATAAGATTTGGGGTTCTCTTCATCCAATGCGGAAGAAATTAGTCGAATCTCCGTCACCGAGTGCATCCATGCAAGCATATGCGTACCTTCAATCGTTATTGTCCAAAGATCCAGGTATCATTAATATATATCATAAACTCTTAATTTCTTTAATAATTATTATTCATTCAATCATACTAATTTGTTTTTTCTTCACATTTTAGTTGTTTTTTGGTATCTTTACAATACTTGGTTGGAGAAGTATCCCAACAGATTTGTATCATTGTGGACCGACAAAAGCACCAATTTTGGAAATTCAATAACAAATAAAGTTGAGAGCCAGCACGCTAAGCTAGAAAACCACCTGGCATCTCGAAAACTTGATTTGGTTAAATTCATATATGTTATTGAAACAGTTGTACAGTCCCAAGACACAACTATCAAAGAGAGTTTCACAAGGAGCATAATCATTCGTAAGCCAAAGTTTAAGGATGAGATATGCAATTCATTATGACATCATGTTTCAGAGCATGCTTTGGATAAAATCTTGGAAGAGCTTCATCGGTTATGGAAATCTTAATATTGATGATCATATGCAAAGGTGGAAGGAAAAATTCAACAATCAACTAGATCATGTCAAATATAGTTATATAAGAAAGATGGAAGAGATAATTGATTCTTCAAAAATTATGATCAATGAACCTTCGGTTAAGAAAAATAACTGTGGACGCCCAAAAGTGAAGTGTGGTCACCATCAAAGTCAAGCTCCTCACCGATACAGTTGTTCAAACTTGAATCAGAAACTACCTAGGCATAGTTCATCATTCTTCGACTTAAACGATGAACCGACTAGGCATAGTTCATCATTCTTCGACTTGAACGATGAACCGACTAGGCATAATTCATCATTCTTCGACTTGAACGATGAACCGACTAGGCATAGTTCATCATTCTTTGACTTGAACGATGAACCATTTAAGCATAGTTCATTCTGCATGGGCATAAACGAGGAACCAATATGCCAATATTCGTACCAGTTTGACTTGAATGAGGAACCAACATGCCAATGGTCGTACCAGTTTGACTTGAAATAGGAAACATCGATGGAACATAGTTCATTGTTGAAGAGTATTCCTGATGTATTTCATAATTACATCGACAAAAATACAAGATGTACTCATTGATGAAAACTGTGGGTTTCGAGCGGTAGCTGTTAGTCTAGGGTACAGTGAATACCAATGGCTATACATTCGAAAAAAATTGCTTGAAGAGTTACACAGTCAATTTAATGCATACCAACAAGTTTTTACTGATGGGTACAATGAGGTATACGAGTCTTTGTGTTGGTTCGAATCACCTATATATTGCGACATTGGCTGATTATGCCTTTAACTGGTTACTTGATTGTCAACAAGTTTGGTGTGATTGTTCATTATCTAAGCCATGAACAATATACAACTTGCTTTCCTCTTTAGAGAGGCCTTGAAGAGTTTCAACCTCACTGAAACATTACAGTGGCACTTGTAGGCAGACATTGTATTTCAGTGTCTTTAAAAGAAAATTACCCAATGCCTTCCACCACAACATATTGGAATGCTCATAAAAGCTCGTCCACATCTTTCTGGAAAACTATGTATTAGTCGCGTTTTGAATTATACAATCAACATAGGTCTCGTAGTTCTGAAATATCATGGATACATATCAAGGATTAAGTATAAATGTAATTGAACTCTTTTGATATGTCTTGCTTTCAAATTTTTGTTTTATTATTAGTATGTCATATTTGTAGTCTTTTGTTATAATATTTTTAAATAAAACGATTTTAATAAATTACATACAAATAACTATATATATATATAATATTTAACCTATTTTATTTTGCAAAAAAAGAAATAACATAGAAAAAAGATTGTTTCTTTATAATATGCATATACATACTCTTTTGACGTAATATTTTATTCTATACATATACATATTCTTTTGACGTAATATTTTTTTATCCATCGGCATAGGAAAAGATATGTGGCTTTATATCTCTTATTTAGATAGTAA